ATTATTTTTTTATGAGAAATAATATTTTTTAATAATCCCTTTTTCATTCTACATACTTTATCTTAATTAGGATATTAATAATGAACTAGCAGATAATGTAGCCTTTGGAATAGTCCACCAATTTTTTAAAATTAAACAGTATCTAAAGATTTGCATCGAAGCGTTTTTTTTTTGATAGTGATTTTAATCACTGTCAGATATCATTATACTTGATCCATCTATACCACGTCACCACTGTGCCGCGACCCCCCTGTGCTGGGTTTTTTAAAATTATTCTTAGTATATTATTACTTAAATTTTTTAAACATAATCAAAACTATCGCAATAGTTATATTGGTATAACTGACTGATTTATAACAAAAATTACAAACAAATTCATAAAAATAATTGTAAAAGTACAATTTGTTGTAAAATTTATCATTTCAGTGATAAAATCGGTTTGACTGTGTTGATACAAAATATCGATATATTGAAGAAAAAAATCGATATTGTTTTAAATCGATACATTTCGCCTATCAATAATCTGTTATCATTTCAATTCTTTAACGTCACAGAAATTGTTCGTAACATAAATTATCAATATCAATTGCTCTCTAGAAAAATGTATTTTTCTTAGTTATCATTATTTTTATGCTTATCATTCATTGAAATATTTTAAATTATAAATCAGTTATTTTGTTGGAATATTAAAATTAATTTTTGACTATTTAAACGTTATTATTGTGTCTATAGTTTTTACTTAATGGTCAAGAGAAATCGAATTGTCTGGATAAATTCTTCAACATGTTTGTTTCGCGGTAATTAAAAGAATAATTTTTTCTTTAAACCATGTTTTAATAAAAAACCTTGTTAACTTAATCTTTAAAAAATTTTTTCCTATAAAAACTAAATATTTTTAAACAAAAATTCTACTTTTATTATATATAATTTTTATGTAAAATGAAATTTAGGCTTATTTCTTAGTTTTCACAAATGTCATTTTAAAGAATGTTGTATAAGAGAAACATTCACAATATATATAATTTACTGTAAATTTAGATATTTTAGTAATGTTTACTAAACATTTTTTAATTACAGCTAAGGTACATTTAATATATTAATATTATTTGGTACTTGATTATCTAGAATGTGATTTGTCTGACTATTAAGTATTATATTTTGCTTGTTTGTATTTTAATAGTATTAATTAATAGCTATCAGTCTTTCTTTTAAAAGAGTTTAGTTTATAACTTAAGTATTTAAAAATTGATTTTATATTTTTTCTAACTAATAAGTATTTGTATAATTCATTGGATCTCTAATTATTACGTTGGCTTATTCAAAATGAAAATGGATTTACATGGTATACAAGTTATTGGTTGTTACTGCATTAGACTTTAATGAAGTCATTAACATTAGTCATTGCATCAAATCCTGACATTCAGTTTACCTTATTCATTTTGTATTCTATGTGCTCCTTAAAATACAATGTGCTATTTATAATGATACCAATATCTTTGATTAGATTACTATAAATACTATAATTAAAATATTGTATTGAAGTGTTATTTTTTTTTTAAGTAATTATACAGTTTAGAAATTACAGCTACTATGTACAGTTTTATTAGCAGCTTTTCCAAAAACTGCCAATAATACATAACCTAAATATTTTAAAATACCCATAATTTCTAGGTGAGCTAAAAAATAGAAATGGTATCATATTTTACTCTGTTTTTAATCTTCTTTTGATTTATAACACAATATTCTTTGTTTTATAAAATTATTATTTTTTAAATATTTTTAAAAAATTAAAAAAAAATATATTTTTCATAACATAATTACTTTGCTCTACTACTACTACTAAAATCTAATAAGTTTTTAAATAGATAATCAATAAAATAGTTTAGTAGATCAAAAATTATGAGATTTGTCAAAACATAGTGAGATACTCTGTATATTTATAAAATTATTATTTTTTATTGTAGCAACATGAAATTTAAAATTAATTATAATTTTTCTAGAAGGAAAAATGAATTTCTCATTAAAAGTTTAACTATAATTTAATACTTATTAAATATTTTCAGAGGAGAGATTTCGAAATTAGAAATACAGTGGTCACCAATACATGAAAATAAATTTATTACATGGGGACCTGATATACGGATGTATGAAGTAACATCTGTTCCAGAAAATTACAAAAATCATGATGTTCCTAAAGGTTAAACAGACTAATACTATTTATTTAATGTAATTTTTTTACTTTAAATTTTTTAGTTTCAATGCAAAGCTGATAAATTTTTGGCTTTACAATGATGTTTTTATTTTTTTGTCTTGCACTACTTTTTTAGTTTCTTCTAGGAAGGTAGTTTTCCACTGTAATAAGTCAAAGTTTATAATTGTAGATTTTACATATTGGATGTTCAGTAAGTAAGGAAACAGGTTTTTATTGTTCTAATTTTTTGTAACCATTAACCAATTTCCTTATTTACTGAACTCTTCTTCTTTTTCTTCCTCGGCTTAATCCTAATTACTTAAATACCCTTATCCTAAACTTCCACTTGACATATTCACCCATATCCTCAATGCTCACATCAGCTGTCCTCAAATCGCATTCAATAGCATCCCTCCATCTCTTTTTTAGTCTTCCTCTATCTCTTCTTCCTTCAACATTCATTTCTATAACTGTTTTTACAGCTTCCGATTCTTTTCTCCTCATAACATGACCAAACCATCAAAGTCTATTTTCTCTCATCTTATCCACGATTGACGCTACACCTATACTCCCTCCTATATGCTCGTTCCTTACTCCATCTTCTCTAGTCACTCCACTCATCCATCTAAGCATTCTCATCTCTGCTCTACTTTCTTATCAACCACCCAGCACTCTGAACCATACATCATAGCTGGACTTATTACAGTCTTGTAGAATTTACCTTTCAGCCTCATTGGAATTCTTTTATCGCATAAGACGCCAGACGCTTCTCTCCATTTCAACCACCCGCACTTAATCCTGTGTATTACATCCTCGTCAATAACACCACTCTTTTGCACAACTGACCCTAAATACTCAAAAATTTTCCACCTCACCTATTGTCACTGACCTTCTCATTTCACCTACATTGTGTTCTCCTTTGTCAAACTCGTACTTTATATATTCTGTCTTACTTCTACTTATTCTTAAACCCTTTTCTTCAAGAGCTGATCTCCAGACCTCTAACCTTTGGTTAAATTCCTCCCTATTTTCTTCTATTAACACTGAACACATTGTATATTAATATTTCTCTATTTTAGGCATTTTTCTCTAGTAATTTCATCCATCACTATAGAGAATAAGTAAGGGCTTAAAGCAGAACCTTGGTAAACTCCTATCCTTACCCGAAAACCTTCTGTTACTCCTCTATGCTTTTCACCCTGGTACAAGTGCCATCATACATATTTTCTATTATTTTAATGTACCTTTTCGGAATTCCTTTTTTCATTGATGCCCACTTTAAAACCTCTCTCGGTACTCGGTCATAAGCTTTCGCCAAATCTATAAATACCATACAAAGCTTTTTCTTTTTTTCCTAAACTTTCCTATTAATTGCCTCGCACAAAATAATGGCTCCATGGTTGACTTACCAGGCATAAATCCTAACTAGTTTTTAGATATTAATTTTTATTAGTGATATTTTAAACATATGTTAAATTAAACTAATTTAATAGTAGTCAAAAAAATTTTACATAACTTATATTCTATTAATAGATGATTAGTGAGAATCTAATTTAATGCAAACCTTTATGGTTTGAAATTTATCCAAAGTTACGAAAATTAGTTATGAAATTTTTTTTAAAAAATGGCATTATGGTATAAAGATTTTATAGAGAATGCTTTAAACATAATGTTTAGTACTTATAGAATACACAAAAGCTACCACTTAGCTATTTATGAATACAAGTTACCTATGTCGCATAGCTCTACATACTTAGAAGTAAATTTCAATTGGTGCTTCTCATTCAGAGATGCATAATCAAGAAAACTATCAGAATCGTAGGAATGTGCTGCTTTTCAATACTTATCAAAAGGTGTATCAATCATGTAAAAAAAATTTTATCAGATATACCTATATTAAAACAATATTTTGAAAAATAAGGAAGTAAAATCATCAGTTGGATTGAATTTAGGATTTGTTGACATAGTGCTGAAAAATATTCAGTAGAAACAGGGTATACAAAGTGACTAGCCTAAAAAAAACATATGAATACCAAAATCTTATCAACTATTCATTAAATTTAAAATTACTATTATTATAAATACATTTTTATACCTTTATTAATATCTACCTTATTTTATTTATTTATTTTTTATTTTTAGTGTTTATTAAGGTTCTTTAATTTCCTATATTTTGTTGAAAATTTACTATCTAAAAATATTTTGAAATTTGACTCATATTTTTGTTTTTATAAAGGTGTAATATTATCTTCAAATACTATAGCCAATCTTGTAGCCACAAGTACAAACCATCGTTATGTGAAATGTATTGATATTTATCCAAAACCTGAATCAGAAATAATGTTAGCTATTGGGCACGCAAATGGAAAAATATCATTTTGTAATTTTGGATTGGCTAGTAATAATAGCAATAATATATTAGCAGGACTTGAATTAGGGCCAAGTAATAAAAACTTATTTTAATGTGATTATTAAATTACAATAATACAATAATTGAAATTTTATTGTAGGTTCACGTTTTGCTAGGCAATGTAATTCTATTTCATGGAATCCAGTTAATTATAATTTATTAGCCTGTGGATTAGATAAACATCGTTCTGATCAATGTGTACAAATATGGGATGTAGAAAAAAGTCCATTAATGAATGCGGATTTAACAGCAGCTAGACCATTTTTTGAGTATGGAATAGGTGAAACAGCTCATTCAATAGCATGGTTTAATTCATCTCCTCATGTTTTAGCTGTGAGTTGCAACAATAAGCAAATTCGTTGTGTAGATATTAGAGGTACTTCAAGTTTGCAATATTTAATTTTCTAAGTTAAAAAATTACTATCTATAAATTATTTATTATAATAAAGTTCATTCCCTATTCCCAATTAAAAAATAACTCAATTCAATTTTATTACGTTTTTTAATTTTTTAAATTATTTAAAAATTAGACAACTTATATTTATACTACTTGGATTAAATGTGCAGTAAACCATTAGCTACAATATTCTAAAAAAAGAGAAAAATTTAATTCAAATACTTAAAAAAAAAATTGTGGGGTTAAAAATTTTATTAATTATGGAAGACTAAGGAAATGTGAGGCACATATTTAGTACATTGCTATACTTATATTTTAATGGTCCAGTCAGAAGATTTGAAAAAAATAAAAATATATTACTACAATTATTTTAGCTTCGATGGGAAGCTGAGAAGGTATAATTTTACTATGATGTGTTTTTTTATTATTTTTTTTTTTTTGTCTCTGTGAACGTGAAAAAATTCTCGATTTTATATTTTATATAACTTTTGGAAAAATGTATGGATCAATATTATTATTTTTTTATAATAAATATTTATATACCCCTTTCTTCTGGCACGCTTTTTTTGTAAATCGGATCATACCCCTTTAACAAGGGGGGTCAAAACTTTAAACATGCGTATTGTTACTAAGATATTTTCAATTTAATTTTTGAAAGTATTCCGGAAATACTGACACTTTTATATATATCTTAAATTAAAGCTTATGTAATATACTTTAATTTGAAAAAAAAAAATTTGACCTCTGGACTTGTCTTCGTGGTGAAAACGGACATCAAAGTTAAAGAAAAACGTACGATTTCCGTGAAAAAAATCTCGATTTTATATGTTATATTATTTAATTTATATTTTATATAACTTTTGGAAAAATGTATGGATCTATATTATTATTTTTTTATAATAAATATTGATATACCCCTTTCATCTGGCACGCTTTTTTTGTAAATCGGATCATACCCCTTTAACAAGGGGGGTCAAAACTTTAAACATGCGTATTGTTACTACGATATTTTCAATTTAATTTTTGAAAGTATTCCGGAAATACTGACACTTTTAAATATATCTTAAATTAAAGCTTATGTAATATACTTTAATGTGAAAAAAAAAAATTTGACCTCTGGATTTGTCTTCATGGTAAAAATGACTACCGTATGCAAAAATATGCTATTTTTGTGTTAAAATTCTGGGTTTTGTATTTTATTTTATTTTAAAATACCTGACAAGGGGAGTACAGATTTTCATAAATATTATATAAATTAAAATTGATATAGTATAGATAGTTAAACTTATTTAAATATGTTTGTTTCTTTTAAGTCGAGAAAAATAACTTTGAAATTTGAACTAGCTTAAATAGCCAATTTTTCAACCGACTGTAACAACATACGGTTGCCGAGTTGTTAAAACTTATGTTTTACACGCTTGGGGTACGAGGTTCCAACCCGCGTATGGCAATGAATTTTTTGCATTTTTTCTTAATTCTTTTTAAGTTAGTATAAATTTTAACTCGTTTGATTTTTATCACATTTAGATTCAATAACTTCAATAAAGATCAAGGATCCCATCACTTTAGTCGCCCCTTGCAAGAAGAAATTTCTTATTCGTATTAAAANTTGCCCCTTGTAAGAAGAAATTTCTTATTCGTATTAAAATTATTTTACTATATTTTAAGTTTTAGCTTCGATGCAAAGCCGAGAAGATATTTTTTTGTGACTATCATTTATTTTCTCTGCTCTAACTTGACCTACTTTTTTCAACAATACGTCAAATTACTACAATTCGTATCTAGTTGAAGATATTACTCTCAAAAATTGAAAAAAAAATTCTAATTTATCAATTAAACAGTTAGTTATTACATCGTCTCCATAAAGACAATTAAAATCATTAATTTCTAATGTTTTCAAAATATTTATTAACGAATGAAGTTTGATATGATAGGTTTCAACTACAAAATTAAATCATTTTACTTTGTAATTTAATAATTTTATTACTCTGTTTGTGTGTGCTACTATTAGACTATAATATTCAAATTTTTTTCTAACGTGTTGCTATATAAATCATTTCTAAAAAAAATGATTGTTTTTTCTCCTGAATTAACAATTGATTTTTACAAATATAATCAAATTTTATAATAAACTCAATTGAGTAAATCTTTTTAACAACTTTGTTTTGATTGGTACATTTAGTTNATCCTTAGATATTTACTTTTCATTTGATATCATTTTTTTGAAAATCTATCATTTAACCTGCTCATTGGGGGGGATTTAAAATAGCAACTTTTTTACAAAAATTAACTTTTTCAATTTAATTTTTGAAAATTTTGAAATACTGCGTCCTTTAGTCATATATCAAATTAAACCTTTTTTTATGTAATATAAAATGAAAAAAAAAAATTTGTCCCGACACTTTTATTTCTACATTTAAACGGCTGCCGTAGTTAAAAAAACACTATTTTTGTGTTAAAATTTTCGATTTTCAATTTTAAATTTTCAACTTAAAAATGCTATAACTTTTCGAAAAATGTATATATTAGCACAAATTTTTTTTTTTCTAAATACATTATAAGTACATCTTTCATTTGACATACTTTTTATTAAAATTGGACAATTTCCCCTTATATAGGGGGCGTTCAAAACTTAAAATATTGTAAAAAACATAGATCTTTTTCAACTGNTGAAATATTGTAAATAACATAGATCTTTTTCAACTGAACTTTTGAAAATGTTCCGGAAATACTGCGTCTTTTAAACATATATCAAATCAAAGGTTATGTTATATACTATCAAATGAAAAAAAAAAATTGTCCCGACGACCTATCTTCTATACGCAAATGGCTGTCGAAAATTAAAAACAAATGAAATATTTGCGATAAAAATTACCTTTTATCGGGATGTTTTAGCTTCGATGCGAAGCTGAGAAGGTATTAATTTTACCATGATGTGTTTATTTTTTTTTTTATTTTTTTTTTTGTGTCTGTCACTACTTTTTCTCAGCTCTCACTGGACCGATTTCTTTTAACAATACGTCAAAAGATCACAAATTGTATCTAGTTGAAGACATTACCCTTAAAAATTTAAAAATTTTCCCTCGTTCCCCGCAAATGGGGGAAATATCCAAAAAAATTACAAATTTAAAAATCGACAAATTTTGTCATTTTTTTCACTTTTTTTTCTTAAAACTTCCATAACTTTTTCAAAAATCAACAAATCAACATAATTTTTTTTTAAACTAAAACCTTAGATATTTTCCTTTCATTTGATATAATTTTTTTGAAAATTTAACACTTAACCTGCTCATGGGGGGGGATTTAAAATTGCAACTTTTTTACAAAAACTAACTTTTTCAACTTAATTTTTGAAAATGTTCCGGAAATACTGCGTCCTTTAAACATATATCAAATTAAAGCTTATTTTATGTACTATAAAATGAAAAAAAAAAATTTGTCCCGACACTTTATCTTCTGCATGTAAACGGTTGCCGTAGTTAAAAAAACACTATTTTTGTGTTAAAATTTTCGATTTTCAATTTTTAATTTTCAACTTAAAAATGCTATAACTTTTCGAAAAATGCATGTATCAGCACAATTTTTTTTTTTCTAAATACATTATAAGTACATCTTCCATTTGACATACTTTTTATTAAAATTAGACAATTTCCCCTTATATAGGGGGGGTTCAAACTTTGAAACATTGTATAAAAAATAGAACTTTTTCAACTGAACTTTTGAAAATGTTCCGGAAATACTGCGTCCTTTAAACATATATCAAATTAAAGCTTTTTTTATGTACTATAAAATGAAAAAAAAAAATTTGTCCCGACACCTTATCTTCTATGTGCAAATGGCTGTCGAAATTATAAAAAAAATGTAATATTTGCGATAAAAATCACCTTTTATAACGATGTTTTTTGTACTTAAAACTGCCATAACTTTTTCAAATATTAACTAATCAAAATAATATTTCTTTATATTGAAACCTTAGGTAATTTCCTTTCGTTTGATATCATTTTTTTTGAAAATCTAACACTTATTCTGCTCACAGGTGGGATTTAAAATAGCAACTTTTTTTACAAAAATAACTTTTTTAACTTGACTTTTGAAAATGTTCCGAAAATACTGCGTCCTTTAAATATATATCAAATTAAAGCTTATTTTATGTACTATAAAATAAAAAAAATAAAAAAATTTTTTTATGTCGGTTGCCACTTTTTCTCAGCTCTCACTGGACCAATTTCTTTCAACAACACGTCAAAAGATCACAAATCGTATCTAGTTGAAGACATTACCCTTAAAAATTGAAAAATTTTCCCTCATTCCCCACAAATAGGGGAAATATCCATACAAATTACAAATTCAAAAATCGTTAAATATTGTTATTTTTTTCACTTTTTTTTCTTAAAACTTCCATAACTTTTTCAAAAATCAACAAATCAACATAGTTTTTTTTTTATACTAAAACCTTAGATATTTACCTTTTGTTTGATATAATTTTTTTGAAAATCTAACACTTATTCTGCTCACAGGGGGGATTTAAAATAGCAACTTTTTTACAAAAACTAACTTTTTCAACTTAATTTTTGAAAATGTTCCGGAAATACTGCGTCCTTTAAACATATATCAAATTAAAGCTTATTTTATGTACTACTAAATGAAAAAAAAAAATTTGTCCCGACGACCTATCTTCTATGCGCAAAAGGCTACCGTATTTAAAAATATGCTATTTTTTATTAAAATTCTAGGTTTTGTATTTTATTTTATTTTAAAATATTTTATTAGGGGAATAAACTGACTTTCATGAATATTATATAATTTCATTGACATAGAATAAAGTTCATAAGACATATGATATTATACTTATTAACATTTTTTACTTTTTTAAAGTCGAAAAAGTAATTTTTAAATTTGAGTTAGCTTAAATAGCCAATTTTATCATGCAACAAAAATCAACGAATAGTTGCCGAATGGGTAACACCTTGATCTTTAAC